AAACTTAAACAACAACAGCGAATAACAATTAAATTAACATAAGAATAAAACAAGTATATGTTCTCATACCGTTACATTACTTATACGCTTTCTACAAGTTGTTTTAGAGAGCATATATTGATCACTGCTCACTACTTCGTTTTGTTTTGTAGTTTTCCACCATAACAAAAGGTATGTGTCAGAAGTGGGATTCGAACCCACGCCTCCATTCGGAGACCAGAAGTCCCGTTTCTGCGGAAGGAGATAATCCTTGAGTCTGGCGCCTTAGACCACTCGGCCATCCTGACACGGTGCTTTAAACGGGAGCCGGTTGCACTTTTATCTATGAAACCGCGGCTGTAAACGTATTAAGTGTCAATATGTGATATATTTGTGGCAGAATTAAGTATTAACTGCTTCATTAGTGTGTTTTAATCTCTTTAAATGTGTATTTTACTCTTGTTTTAACGCGTTCGCCGTTTAGCTCGGGTCTGCGCATGCTCCCATTTAGCAGTCGTAACTTCCGGCGTGTGTACGTGCAGCCGCCATATTTCAGTTCTTCAAGGGTAACCGGACGCATCAGGACAGTCGACATGTACCGGTTCACTAAAGCCGCCGTGAACATCTCCGGTAAGAGCACGGGCCGGTGTGAGGAAGAGGAGCTGTCGGTGTGTGTTCAGGCCGGAGGACAGTTTAATAGCAGTTAATTAAACACAGAAACAGACTGTGTTTGTTCGGTGACCGCGGGCGGCGTGCTAACTGCTAACTAATGCTAACACGCTTCTCCAAATGTTTTTATTTTTATTTTTATTTTTATTATTAAAGAGTTTAATTATCTTAATTAAGGTTAAAGCAGTTAGTTTGTTAGCTTTAGAGCTCGATGTAGTCTTTTAAACAGGTGTGTTAAAGTGTCATAGTCTCTCTCAGACCTGTAGAAAGAGGTTATTGTAGGTCAAAGCATCTGTTTAAATCTGTTCATTTACTGTAGTTTTATAATTCTGTTTAATATTTTATTATATTAAGTTTAGTTCAGTATTTTATAATATTAACAGACTGTCTGATGAAGGAAGGGCAAACAGGACAGTTATTATCTGACTGAAACCTTTTGTTCCACATATTGTTGTTTTTAATACATTAATTAATAGTTTCAGACAGTCTAATATGATCAATAATATGATCAATAACTGTCTTAGAACTGATTAGAAATGTTACTCCACTTGCTGAAAATCAATGCATCCATCTTCTTTTAGCTGCTTTGGCTCCAGCTCTTCTCAGAGTCTGTTAAAGTGTTTAAATACAGAGGAACAAACAGCTTTACTCTGATTCTATATATATATATATATATATATATATATATACTCTTCTTCATTCACAATTACTGAATACAAACTGATATATACACATTTAACCTTCAGTAAGAGCTTCTGTGGTTATATACTGGTTGTACACTGGTTATATACTGCAGCCCAGTGTTTGAATGCAGCCCTGTGTTGTTGTATTAACAGCAGCTCGGTGTGAAGGCGTTATATCTTTCTCTGTCTCTCCTGACTCCTGCTGGTTTTATATCTGCATTTATTGATCAGGGTTTATACAAAGTTTTGATTCCTTTAATTGTTGTTTTTCCACCGTTAGGAAGCGCAGAAAGAAAAGTTCTGGATTTCAACATAACTTTCAGTTTTCAGTCAGAATCACTGTAACTGGTCACTGATTGATAATCCTGATTGAAACACAGAGTCCATCTGAAACTTGTTTTTACGTTGATAGAAACAGACGTGGTGATAAAGTTTTACAGTTAAGATAAGAAAACCTTTCTTTGTCCCACAATGTGGAACTGCAAGTGAAAGAGAGTGAGTGTGTAACAGAGCGCTGTAAACACTCCTGTCCTAACACACACTGTCTGTCCCGGTCCAGGTCTGGCCGCGAGGCAGGCGAGGCAGGCGAGGAACGGATCCACCGCCCCAGACTTCCACGCCAAGTACGGCAACGGCCTGATGGTCGGAGGCACCGTCTTCTGCACGGCCGTGTGGGCATACGTGAGTGTTTCTGCTTCACGTTACTGAACCCTAACCCTAACCCTA